CATGCAAAGGCATGCAGGACCTACAGGTGCAACGCCACGGAAGCCGATGACAAACTGCATCAAGAAGTCATTAACGGTGTTTGTTAGATTTGACGGAAGTTAGTTTTTCCGTACAATTGGAACTTTATTTGAGAATTTTGTGGAGCTCGGAACCTTAATTGAGTGCAATTGAAGTTTGTGTTTAACATTGTGAATTTTGTGTAAGTTTGGGTCCTTATGTCATATTTATGCCAAAAAAAAAAAAAGGAGAACTCTTTTGTCAAGCGACTATAAAATCAGTATGTTTGGAAACACAAATAAACCAATGCAATATAAATGGGCATAAGTTTAAGCTATTCTGCATTAAAAAACCGAGATGTGCCATATTAATTTTTTGAAGAGAGTGCGACAAGAGGTGACAAAACTAGGTATGCACTGAAAATTGTCCTTAAAAAATTAATTTTTTTAAGCATTGGCCCCGAAATTTGAATCCTATACTTAATTTATAAAATAATACTTGATTATTAATAAATTTAACTTTGGGATTTATATATGAATTGTAAGATTTTTTTTTCTTAAATCCGTCCATCCAATAGAAGGGTAGTGATAGATTCACAAAAAAAAAAAAAAAAAAAGTAAGGACGAACTGCTTTTTGAAATTATTGATCAAAATAAATTACTTATTATTTAGGTTAAATGCTTAATTTGATCCCTTTATGAAATGAACATTTTTGGTCCTTTAACAATTTTTTGTACTTTTTTTATCCCTCAACTATACAAAATGCACTCCGTTAGTCCTTCTGTTAATTTGGGCCGTTAACCCGACTTAGGTGGCATTTTTTATATTTTTTATGATGTGAAGAGCAAAACTTAAAAAAGTGATGATATGTCTGCCATGTCACATGCTACCTGGCAAAATCACGTAAAATCCATTCAAATGGGTCCCACATCACCATCTTTGCCCATCGGTTACTGTTTTTCTTCCTTCCCTATTCGACAGAACCCAGCAAATCTGGGTTAGATGTAACTCAACAAATAGGTTCCATCGAACCCAGCTCGATTCATTGAACTCAATTGCTCAAAAATCCCTCACAACAACCTACAATTGCCCAAAAATCCCTCAAAAACAACAACCTGCAATTGCCCAAAAATCCCTCAAAAACAACCTGCAATTTGAATAATCTCTTGGCAAACAATCATATAACAAAAAAAAAAAAAAACCAGTTGCTCAAAAATAACTCACAACAACCTACAATTTGGATAATCTCTTGGCAAACAATCATATAAACAAAAAAAGTGGAGCTGGTTCTGGGTTCCGTGGAACCCAACAACTGGGTTCGTTGGAACCCAGGCGGGGTTCCGTTGCCTGCCGAGGAAGAAGAGGAAGAAAGAAGAGGAAAAAGAGGAAGAAAAAGAGAAAGGAAGAGGACGGAAGTTTTTTATTTTTTATTTTTAAATATAAATAATAATAAGGTGTGTTGGCATGAAAAAAAAAAATCCACATCATGAAAAAAAAAATCCACATCAACACGATTTTAATTTGTTTTTGCCACGTCATTAAAAAAATAATAAAAAATGCCACATAAGGGAGTTAACGATCGAAATTAACAAAAGCACTAACGGAATGCATTTTTTAAAGTTTAAGGATCAAAAAAATGCAAAAAATTGTTAAGGGACCAAAAATGTGCAACTCACTAAAGTTGAAGGACCAAATTTAGCATTTAACCTATTATTTAATATATGATATCGTCATATGTCAACTTTTTGTTAAAAAATACTTAAATGGCAAATGGATTTTTGATGTGTGATAACATTATATGTTAAATAATAAATAATTTATCTTAATTAATAATTTGAAGGCTTAATTTGTCTCCATTTTTTTGAGGGGTTGATTTATCCCTATCTTCTTATTTAAAGGGCGGATAAAACGCAGATGTGAGAGTTCTGCCAAAGAAAAAGTCCATTTTGACGGATCAACCCGGTATTTATTCAGGGATTGTCCTCGGTGTTTTGGTGATTACTGTAGACATGGAGCGTAGTGACTTTCGAATTGGAAGTGAATTTTTTCAAGCTCAAGCAACAACCCAAGCCCACAAGAAACGGGCGCCTAAGAGTGCTTTGTTCCTTAAGAGAGGTTAACAATATAAAAGTTCTGAGTTTAACAGAATGTTTGGTTAAAGAGAATTAGAGTAGAGATCCCCTCCTTTCATTTAAAAAAATAAAGTAAAAGACTTTTCCCCCTCTCAAAGTTTTTACTAATTAAATAGAGAAATTTCATCTCTCTCCTCCTCTAAAACCAAACACCTATTCTCCTCACACTAAACATATGGTATATCTTAAAAGG